TGGGAACCGAGCTCATTGATCATTCTGGATGATGAAAGTGAAAGCATTTTTTGCTTGCCTGAGGCCTTGGGCTGCACTGTATCACATAGTGTACACCAGCAATGATTTATGGTGAATGCCCCTTTTTCTCTGGAGGTCTGGAGCTTTGTTAACTGAGGTAGGTCATGCAGGTGGTATATGCCTGTGAATGATCCTCAGTAAAATGCTGAGATGCCCAAGCCTGGTCAAGCTTCCCTGGTTGACAGCACTTTGCATGTGTTGTCATTCGTCATTGCTGGAGGAATTAAGCACATCCTGTGCTACTCCCCAGGGAGGAGACACTTGCAAGTTTGTGCCTGGTTTCCTCCAGACTTCATCCTATCCACATTTTCCCTTTGTTAATTTTATTCTGTATCTTTTTGTTGTAAACTTAAGTATAACAAGTATAAACTTACATCCTATGAGTCGTTTTAGGGAATTAAACCTGAGTGTAGTGTTGGGGACTCCAAATGTAGGTAGTTTGGAGTCTATTATCTCCAAATAGAAACTGTAGTACACAGATATTAAATACCTTGTCATGCTGATATTGGATGACACAGGTGGAATTCAAATTATCTGTCTCTAGTGCCCATGGTTTTAACAACTACTTACAAGTAAAGATAATCTGACATGATTGATGTCTCTTAAATAGAAAACTCAATAATTAAAACAGAAAACCTATGCAAAGATATAATACAAGAAAATTTCCCTTTTAAAAAATTTGCAGCCTAAAAAAGCACTGCTTTTCCAGTAAAAAAATAAAAGATGCAGAATATCACCAAAATATTGTTAAGTTACTGAAACTTGAGGATAAGCAAAACTATTTTTAGATATTCATATGGGGAAAAAAGTCACCTTTAAGGGAGAAAACATTCAGGCTGTTTCATAACAACACTCACAGGCAAAATGCAGCGAAGCTATGTTCACAATTGTACTAAAGAAAAGAAAATAGGACCCAGGATTTTGTACCCCCTCAAATTGTCCTTCAAGTATAAAGAAAATATGCAAAAATTCAGGGAAAACAATATCCATAAACTCTTCATTTTTGTAGAATTATTTTTGTCAATCTATCTAACAAAATTCTTATGAGGTTATCCTGAAGTTACTGATAGGTGCTTTATATGATAGAGCTTCAGTATCCAATATGGTGGCCACTGGCTATATGCAACTATTGAGCACATGAGGTACGGCTAATATCGTTAAATGCTATAAATGTTAATATACACACCAGATTTCAAAGACTTAATACAAATAAAAGTAAAATATTGCATTAGTTTTTATTTCATTTTAATGGTATATTCAAATGGCATTTTAGACATATTGTACTCAGTTAAATAAACTATCATTAAATTAATTTTACCTCTTTCTTTCTTTCTTTCTTTCTTTCTTTCTTTCTTTCTTTCTTTCTTTCTTTCTTTCTTTCTTTCTTTCTTTCTTTTTTTTTATTTAGACAGGGTCTCCTTCCCTGTCACCCAGGCCAGAGTGCAGTGGCACAATCTTGGCCTACTATCAGCCTTAACTTCCTGAGCTCAAGTGATCCTCCTACCTCAGCCTCCCAAGTAGCTGGGACTACAGGTGCACACCAGCACACCCAGCTACTTTTTTGTTTTTAGTAGAGACGGGGTTTCATCATGTTGCCCAGGCTGGTCTCAAACACCTCTGCCTTCCAAAATCCTGGGATTACAGGCCTAAGCTACCATGCCAGGCCCCTCTTTTTACTTTTTAAAAAAGCTCATAGGAAGTTTAAAATTCAATGTGTGGCTACATTATATTTCTGTTGCACAGCACCATAGTAGACTGTGGGGAGAGATTTCGCTTGTTTGTACTATTTAGTGTAGTTTGATCTTTTAAAATAAGTATGGTTATTCATATAAAACAATAAACTCATTATTTCTAAATTGAATAAATAAACCAGTGGACAAAGAGCTATGCTTTTTCCCCTGGGATGTTGAGACAACTAGCTGGGAGGCTCTGGATGGGAACCAATAACAAAAGAATGGAGAACAGCTGTTCATTGTCCAGCCCACTCCTTTACAGATAGGAAAGCTGAGACCCCAAAGGTCACCTACCACTCTAAAACCTCACGGACTCAAGTGTGCAGCAGATGAAGCTGAAGACCGGCATTTCAGATGAGGCAGAAATACTGACTTCAGGGACATTCTCTGCAGCTCCCACAAGCAACTCCAAGGTGTGTAGCGCCACCTTCAGACAAGGAGTCCGGTTCATCCTGGCTCATACCTCTTGCCCAGAGTGCTTCCTCTTCCAAGAAATCAAAAACAAGATATTTCCTTTGGCCCATGGAAACAGGGACTCTTCTCCCGCAGGTGTAAGTTCCAGCCTCCCAGCCCTGGTTCAGAACTCTCAGCCCTTGGCACCATGAAGTTCAGCAGCTTCCTTGCCCTCTGTCTTGCCGTCTGCCTGGTTAGCTGAGGTGCTGTTGGGAAAGAGGACACTGAGACCTATAGCCTATGGGACAGGGCTGGCTCCAACAGGCTACCGGGTCACCTTCACCTCAGGGGGAATCCAAGGCCCAGATACTGAAAGGGCTCACCTGTGGTCACCATTTCAGTCTGGGGGAAGACCTGGGGCCAGACCTCTCAGATGTCTATTCGATTTAATTAAGTCATCACCAAATTATTATTTTTATTATTTAGAGACAGAGTCTCACTCTGTCACCCAGGCTGGAGTGCAGTGGCACGATCTCGGCTCACCGTAACCTCCACATCCTGGGTTCAAACGATTCTCCTGCCTCAGCCTCCCAAGTAACTGGGACTATAGGCATCTACCACCATACCTGTAATTTTTATATTTTTTTTAGAGGAAGGGTTTTACCATGTTGGTCAGGCTGGTCTCAAACTCTTGACCTCAAATGATCCACCCACTTCGGCCTCCCAAAGGGCTGAGATTACCACGCCCAGCCTGAGAAAGTTAAGTTTTCATACTACTTTAAAAATAAGACCAAGTTCTTAAGCTTGGCTACAGACTGGTGTCACTTGGGGACTTTGTGAGTCCCACCTTCCATAATTCTGATTTAACTGGTTTGGGTAAAGCCTGGACATCAGGATTTTTAAGTTTCCCAGGTGAATCTAACATGCTAGGATAGCAATTTGAAATAGGGTATGGCCAGGGAAAACCTCACTGATAACTTGATAGTGGAGATGGTGAAAAGGGGTGGGATTCTGGATTTATTTTGAAGGTAGGGTGCATAGAGGATGACTCACAGGTATTTGTCCTGGGTACCCGGAAGGATACGAGCTACCTTTTACAGAGACGAGGAGACTGAATGAGGATATCTGGGGTGGGGTGGAGCACATCAGAAGCTTGGTTTTAGAGACACTCAATTTGAGATGTCTTTAGACATCCAAATGGGGAAAGCAAGTAGGCAGTTGGGTGAATGAATCTGAGATCCAGGGAGGAGGTCTCATCTGGAAATATGTGGGTGTTGCCAGAGCATAGGTTACATGTGGCCGGATAGTGGGGGCTGTTTCTAGGTACAGACAGGGCTGCGGGTATGACAGCCAGGCCACAACTCTGTGCTCTTCTGACTTGGTGGACACCCCATGCTATGCATGCTGCATCCCACACCAGGCACACTACACAGACCACTTAGCTTCGTGTATCCACCCACCTGCATTCCTGTCTCATTTACAGTCTGCTTCTTTACCGCTTTGGAAGTAAACTCAAGTAAAAGCACCTTGAACAAAGTGCTTTAACCCATGGTGTAGACTAGCTCACTACCTGCCTACATACATACGCACACATACCACCCACGTGTTGAGGGTCTGAAAACTTTTCAAGGAACCGAAACAGCCTATCCATGTTGGCTACACAGACACCAATGCTACTGTGTTGAGACTGCTACACCCACGCATGTGAGCTTCTAGAGTGCCCCTTGCCCATCCCTATCTTGGATCCCAGATCCCAAGCCAGAATAGCCCTTACCCAATTAATACATTTAGCATTTGCTGATTGAGCACTTACATGTCCTGAGTTGGGTTAGGTCTTAATGAAAGACTGAACCTGTGCCTCCAGGAAGCACGCCATTTGGTGACAAAGAACATGTGTAGGTCTAAGGCAGTCTGGAAGCAGCAGGCAGGGGGCACAGGCAGTGGGCAGGGGGCACAGGTAGCAGCCTGGCACATCAAGGGAAACTTCCAGGAGGGAGCAACTTCTCATCTGGTTTTGTAAGAGGGAACCAGGCAGATGAGAGGTGTGCATGGTTGGTGGAATAGGGCATTCTAGGCCAAATCACTATGATGGGAGAACTGAGTGGGGTGGGAGGTGGGGGGAACTGCAAATAACTCACACAGTTGATGCCAAGTGTGCCAGAGGAAAAGACAGAAGATGAGGGCAGTGGGAGGCATTCGCCTAAAGGCTTGTTTTGCAGGAATCTAATGTTATGTAACCAGCAGGGGAGGTGGGCAGAGTGGGCTTCAATCCAAAGAGCCTGGCTTCGAAGCCTGAGGGTGGTCTGAGGACAGCACACAGCATGAGCTCCTGGGGAGCCTGCTAAAAAGTCAAAGGCTGGGCCATACCCAGACCAACTGAATTAGCAGGATCTGGACCCCAGGAACCTAAGTTATTTTCACAAGTGCCCCCAATACCTGATGCACACTCCAGTTAGAGACCCACCACCCAAAACTCTCCCACCTCTCCACTCTATCCTTGCTGATGTGGACTGGTTCTCAGGGCCCCCAAGAAGTAGGATGGATGATTCATTTCCATGGTCATGGATTATGCTTTCAGAAACCCTCTCAAACAGCCCTGGGCAGCTCTGGGAATTGCAATCAGATGCGGATGGGGATGGGGAGATCAGGAGAAGAAATTTCTGACCAGGTGGGAGGAGGTAGTGGGTTGTTTAGGATTTTTTTTTTTTTTTTGGATGTGTGTGTGTTGTGGGGGAAGGCATAGAGTAGGAGGTCCTGTTCAGGCACCTGGCAGCCACCCCCAGTCTGCAGCTCTTCCCAGGACAGAAGGCAAAGAACCAAGAAAACGTCATTTTTATTCCACAACCAGTAAACTCCCTCCACTACACACTGACCACACCGTGCAGCACAACCCATCACCTTGGCCAGTGCTGCCAACAAACCTTTCTGCAGTGACCGAAGTCTTTTCCTCTGCTGTCCAGTAGAGCAGCCACTGACCACTTTTGGTTATTGAGCACCTCAATATAGAGGTGGCCACTACAGGTGAGGAAATGAATTTCTAATTTAATTCAAATTCAAACGCCACATTTGGCTCATGGATCCTGTACTGGACAGCACAGCTGTAGGCCCTGATCCGGTCCGGGGCACTTTGGTTCAAAAGCCAACTCTGAGGAGAGCGAGTGGCAGAAAGAGCCCTTGGGCCTACCGCCACCCCTCCCCAGAGAGAAATGGTAGCTGCAGCTGCTGAAAAGGGCAAGACTCAGAGGAGGGGGACACCTCGGATGCGCCGGATAAGGTTGGCCAGCCGCTTGGCCAGGCCGCCTGTGCGGGGCTCCTCGATGTGGAAGGTCCGGGTGAGGAGATTGTAGAAGGAGCCGTAGCACACAGCCACCACAGTGCACGTGAGGCAGATCACGTTGTAGGGCATGCTGAAGTCCGGTGTCGGCAGGTTCACCAGCAGCGGCTCCGTGTAGAGTCGTACGAAGTAGTTAGAGCCATCGGAGACTGGGAACCTGGGGTTGGGGAAGGAGAGGTGAGACAGGACTGGCTGCTCCTCCCCACCTCACCCCGTCCTCACTCTGGCAGTCCTGGGCAGTGAAGCACAGTAAGTGTTTCCAATGTTCTCTTAGGCTCAAAACCTTTCAAAAGGCAGCACAGCTCAATCTATAAACCTGATAAAAGGAGAGCAGCTGGCAGGTGGGGGGCCGTGAGGCACTGGGAGGGAGGGCTTTAGGACAAAAACACCTAATGCATGCAGGGCTTAAAACCTAGACAATGGGTTGGTGGGTGTAGCAAACCACCATGGCACATGTATACCTATGCAACAAACCTGCACGTTCCGCACAGGTATCCCGGAACTTAAAGTATAACGAAAACAAAAAAGTAGAGAAGCCTGGTGTTGAAGTGGAAGAAAGGGGCCCGGCCTCTGGTTACCTCATTCTTAGCCTGATCTCAGCTTAAATGCCACCTCCTCAAAGAAGCCTTCCTAGATAACCCAGTAAATCAATCCCTATCCCACCTCTAACCCCATTACTCTCTAGAACAGACTCTTTCCTCTAGACTGTCAGCAAAGGGAGGGCAGGGCCAAGTCTGTTTTGTTTATTCTTGTACCTCCAGTGCTCTCAGAAGCACTTGGCATTTCATAAGTGCTTCATTAAATATTTAAGATCAAGGAGTAAATGTAGGCTCTGAGTAAATGTGTTCTTTAAAATCATTTTATAAAGTCTTCACAAACTTCACAGGCTGCTGTGACTTTTATTAGGATTGAATTAAATCTGTACATTCTTTGGAAGATGTAACATCTACCCTGACCGCCCCTGCAGGAGCCTGGTCACCTGTGTTAAGACCCAGCAGGCAGCGGAGAATGTGTTATCAGTGAGTGTAGTCACACTTACAGGCTGTTGAAGAGGGGACTCTCTTCCCAGTCCACTGGCTTGGCTGCTACCATGCTGGGCACAAGGGCGCTGAGGACAGATGGGCTACAGAGAAGCAGAGAGATGGCCTGTGTTTCCACCTGGCTCCCCTGCCAAGGGGTAAGCAGTGGAGGGGTGGGTCGGGAGGATGAGAGGCAGCCTGCGGGAGTGGGGCCCACCTGACGTAGAAGCCATGGTTAGGGTCTGGGGTATACTCAGTCCACTTCAGCAGCGCCCGCTCAAACTGAATGGAAACCTTGGTGACTGAGTTGGCCGGAAGCTGAATCAGCATCTCCAGGAGGTGGGGTTGCAGCCGGTCCTGGGCAGGCTGGTAGTGGATGTAACCTAGAGACAGGCAAGGGTCACCCACACCTCTTTCGTGGGGTCAGGCTACCTACTGCCCCTGTCTCTGCTGCTTGCCGTCTGGCCTCAATCTGGGTGCCTAGAAGGTGGGCTTGGGAGCGTAGCAGCCAGGCAGACTCGGGAAGAAAGTGGGCTAAAAAAAAGGGAGAGGATGTTTCCAGGGCAGTGATCCCAGGATGCAGTCAAGAGAGGCTGCTGGGAGTGCTGCAGGCTACTCATCAATCTTCACAACACTAGAACTGGGGCACCAGACACCAAGTGCCTGATGGGATGCAGAAGAAGCTCACAGAGCCACCTGGGAACTTTTCTTGCCAAAAATGTGGGACATGAATCTAATCAGGTTTCTAAATCTAACCACCAATACACAAGAAATATAGGAGATGGAGAAGCATGCTAAACACCAGCACAAGGACAAAGCCAGAATATGGAACATTCTATCCAACAAATGACCCAGTTTCTTCCACAAATAAATGGCATAAAAAAAAAAGCACGGGCACTGCTACAGATTAAAGAGACTGAAGAGTACCCCACCAAATGCAAGATGCTTAGTGTTCAGGGAAATTCTGGGTGCGGAGACAGGGAGGATATGGGAACTCTGTGCTTCCTGCTCAATTCTTCGGTAAACCTAAAACTGCTCTGAGAATAGTCTATTAATTTTAAAGAAAGAGAAACTTTTGTGTGGGTGTGACAGGGTTTCACACTGTCGCCCACAGTGAAGTGCAGTGGTATGATCATGGCTCACTGTATCCTTGACCTTCTGGGTTCAAGTGATCCTTCCACCTCAGCCTCTTGAGTAGCTGGGACTACAGGGATGTACCACCATGCCCAGCTAATTAAAAATAATTTTTTTTTTTGTAGAGGTGGCGGCGGTGGGGGGGTGTCTCACGATGTTGTCCAGGCTGGTTTCAAACTCCTGCACTCAAGTGGTCCTTCCGTGTCGGCCTCCCAAAGTGCTGAGATTACACTGCATTTGCTTTATATGAAGTTCTTCGCTTGGGTGCACCACTGTGCCCACTCAAGAGGACCTAATATTAAGCAATTGCAATGTGAGAGCCTTGTTTAGATCCCAATTTAAAGAAACGAATTATAAAAAGACATTTTTAAGACCACAGGGGAAAACAGAAGTGGTAATGATAAGGTTACATTTTTCAAAATCCTTAAAGTATTTAAAGGTTAATTGATCATGTCCAAGATTTGCTTTAAGATACACCAGCAGGTAGTGGCTTACACCTATAATCCCAGCACTTTAGGAGGCCGAGGCATGAGTTTGGGGCCAGGAGTTTGAGACCAGCCTGTGTAACATAACAAGACCTTGTCTCTACGAAAAAATAAAAGGCACAGTAGTTCATGCCTGTAGTCCTGGGGAAGCTGAGGTAGGAGGATTGCTTGAATCCAAGAGTCTGAAACTGCAATGAGCCATCATCATGCCACTGTACTCCAGCCTGGTGACAGACAGAGCAAGAGCCTGTCTCTTAAAAAAAAAAAAAGCTGCAGGGTGGGTATAGGGGAGTTTATTATACTATTCTATTTGGGTTTGGGTTTGAAATTTTCCAGGCTAGGCGAGGCAGCTCATGCTTGTAAACCCAGCACTTTGGGAGGCTGAGGCAGGTGGATCATCTGAGGTGGGGAGTTCGAGACCAGCCTGACCAACATGGAGAAACCCTCTCTCTACTAAAAACACAAAAAATTAGCCAGGTGTGGTGGCAGGCACCTGTAGTTCCAGCTACTCAGAAGGCTGAGGCAGGAGAATAGCTTGAACCCAGGAGGCGGAGGTCGAAGTGAGCTGAGACCGCACCACTGCATTCCAGCCTGGGCAACAGAGTGAAACTCTGTCTCAATCAATCAATCAATCAATCAATAACTGTACCTCTTTACCCCTGCCAAGGAAACAAAACACTGTCTACTCTAGCTCTGCTATCTTCCTAGCTTCAAAAACCCAAGATTGCCAAGCCCTTTCCCTACACAAAACCCAATGATCTGGAAAGGAGGCAAAAGTAAGCAAAAAAGGAAGCTACTGTCCTTGTACAGTCCTATTAAGAATCACCAGTATTATGTGTTTTAATTATTTCTGTTTTATAAAATTACCCCTGAACCTGGTACAATGAGGCTCCCATTGCATTTTTGAAACTATTCCTTACTCTTTATGCCTCTGTAGCTTTTCAGAAGTACTTCAGGAACTACTCTGGGAAATGAGAGACTGGGGGACCTGGAGAGGGCATGAGAGGGTGGGCTGGGGGCCTGGCTCAGGACTCAGCTCCTCACTTGGTTTGTTGTCCTTGCCCTTGGAGGTGATGGTGAGGGTGTGCACATACAGCCGCAGATACCAGGGTACGGTGTCCAGCAGCAGCACCGGGAAGGCCCGGTATGGGTGGGTGTTGTACAGCAGTGTGCTCAGCTCCCCCTTCTGCAGCCCATAGCCGCTCACATACCGCTGGGCATGCAGGAAGGGCACTGGGGGGAACTCTGTGTAGAGAAATGTCAACAGTTAAGAGCTGCCGAAGGTAAGGGTCACTCCCCACCCCAACTGCCCAGGCCATGTTCAGAGTCCAGAGCCAGAGAGTAGATGGGAAACAGTCCTGCCACTGAAGCTGGGCAATCTGGGTTCTGGAATCATCCTGTCTTTCCCAGCCCACAGGCAATGATGACAATAGGTTGCTAGTATTTACTAAGTGCTTATGTGATGAACACTGTGCCCCTTCGAACCCAAACCAGGTCTTCTCATGATATTCTGCTCTTTACCTTGGTAAGGGAACTGAACACAACCGTAATTAACTGACAGCTGCCCCTCAATTAGTAGACATTATATTTCTTGAGTGCAGTGCCCTCTGTCTTATTCAACACTCTATGCCTGGCACATAGTATAAATTCAAAAATATTTGGTTGATTAAGGGAATGCGTGAATTAACTCCATTTTTCACATCATCTCATCCAATTCGCTAGGTATATTCTTCATTTTTCAGATGTGGATGCTGAAGCTTGGAGAATTTAGGAACCTACTCAAAATCATAGAGCTTGGAAGAGCTAGAGTCAGCAGCATATCACTCCGGAGATCTGGTCTAAATACATCCCTATCATCTTACAGCAAAGACGTGGCATTGTGGTCTTTTCTCTGTAGCTGCTGCAACCCAGCAGTCCAACCATCCACCTACTCACCATTCTCTGCGGGTCTCTTCCACTTGAGCTGGATGTTGAGGTTTCGAGAATTGTTGATCGTGGCGGTGTCAAGCAAATCATAGATGGCATAGGTCTTCCGAGTGCCCAGGATGACATCCTGGTATGTAGTGGTTGGGGGTGGGTTCACCTCCAATGTCTCATTGTCCTAGGGACACAAGGGCAGGGCTAAGAAGCAAGCAGAGAGGGAAGGCTGGTCTTGGGGACTAGGAGTTTGTTTGTGTGGCTGGAGACCCTGTTACCTGGTTGTAGTTGGTAATGTCCACATAGACTCTGCTCTCTGAAGCCAGAGGGCAAGGCTCCGTGAGGGTTCGGGAGAACATTCGGAAGAGGGACCAGTCTGAGAAACAGAGAGCAGTGTTAAGCAGGGGCCAGGCCTAGGCCTAGTCCACACAGATAATGCAGGGCCGGCATAGGTGGGTAGAGATGAGTTGCCGAGATAGCTTACCTTTCTTCCCCTGCCCCGTGATGAAGGCATCAAATACAACTGACAGGGTCTGCCTCAGCTCCCAGGAGATGCTAGTACAGCGTGCATTCTATCAAAAGGGCCAGATGGTAGCAGTGAGGGAGTGTCACTCTCACCCAACCACACAGTCCCAAAAAAAAGACTCCTACTCAGACTCAATCCCTCATCTATGTATCTTCACACCCATTGATTTGCTCCCACAAACTCCTGAGCACTTGACCCCATGCCAGACCCCATGCTGGCAGCTTTATGTGCATCAGTTTGATAAACTATCACAACTCTAGGGGTGGAGTCTATGATCAATGTCATGTGTCAGAGTGGGAAACCCGGTTCAGGGTAATGAAATGATTCACCCAAGGTTATGCCAGCTGGCAAGTGACTAAGCTAGCAATTGCTCCCACACAGCTATTGTTCTGCACCACTGTTTTCCATGACAAATATTTATTCAATGCTTGCTAGGCAACCACTGTTTTCTTGGTGCTTGGCCAATGCCCTGAAGAACCATCACCTCATCTACCACTTAGTACTTGCTTAGCCTGAGAAAGACCCTTGGTCACATGCTTTTCTTCTAAGCCCCAGGATGGCAGTTTCCTCTACTTCCCATGACTTACTCTGCAAACAGGGCGGATATGCACTGCCTGGGAGTGGTAGCTGGTGTGGAACAAGCGATCTGCCTTCAGCAGCACAGAGAGGCCTGCCTGGAGGAGACGGAAAGAGGTAACAGAAGAGATGCCCTGGATGGAGCACTTGGTCTGGGGTGCAGGTTCTCTGTAAACCCCCCTGGCTGCCAGGCTGTGTGGCCTCACCTTGGAACTACAGGGCAAGAGCTTCTTCCACGGGGTGAGGTTCTCAGTGCAGACCACCTCCCGAGGTAGCACAGCATAGCGCAGAAAGTAGTGGTCAGTGTCTGAGGGAGACAAGAGGTCTGCCTGGGGTAGTCCTTGGGCTCTCACCCTTCAGGACCCACACTCCAGAGATGGGGATGACCCTCCTGCTCCCCACACCACTCTCTAGCACCACAGTCTGGACAGTCCCAGGTGGGAGTGGGACTCCCTTCTCACTTGGGAGAAGGCATGCAGAGATGGCACAGTATTGGGGGCCTGCACACATAGGGGACTTAGGATCTAGCCCAGGCTGAAGTAGCTGGAAACTGAGGAAAAAGGAGGCAAAGATTTGGGTAGGAGGTAAGAGGAAGAAGGAAAGGGCTGCAGGGATTATCTCACCATTGGCCAGCCCCAGGGGTTTGAAGGAGGCAGTGGGAGTGACCGTGTTGGTGGAGTCGATGAAGTTGAGAGAGGCGCAGAAGATCCCTGAGAGGACATTACTGAGCTCCTTCCAAGATTTATCCACACTGGATAGAGACACAAATCCACTCACTGTCCTGGGGCTGCCTCTGCTCCCTCTTTCAAAGCCCAAAGTGGCTGCTAAACCCATGGTAGGAGAAGGCTGTATTCTTAACTATCAGACAGGTGAGACCCACCCAGCCCACTTGCTGGGTCTCATCTTACTCAGCCCCTTCTTCCTCACTCTCCTCTGGACATTTCTGCATCCCCACGGGTGCAGACCCATGAGTGTCTTCTCAGGTGATTCTTCCTTCCTTGCAGGCCTTTGCTCATTACTTTCTGCCTACCTTCAAGATCTGGCTCTTTTTACTCCCTCCTCCAGAAGCCTTTCCTGCCCTCCTTAAGCATAACCTCCTCTGTGCAGTCATGGTTCTGACCACCCAAGCCTCTTACCAGGTCACTTCTGGGAGATGGCTGGGTGGCAACTGCATCGTGTCCTGAGCACCTTTTTTCTCTAACTAGGCTGTAAGCAAATTGAGGACAATGACCAGTCTGGGCCATCTATGTGCTTCCCATGACACCATGGAAAGCACCTCATACATCAGAGCTGAAATGAACTCACTGATCTTCCTTGAAGGTGCTCGGCTGGGCAAAACAATGCCTACTGCCCTGTGTATACCCTGGGAACAAAGGTAAGTCCTGGTTCTATCATAGTGAGAAGTCTTACATCCAAAAAAGCTCACTGAACATGGGAAAAACAACTGTTCTAGGACTTTATAAAAACATCAAATTAAATTAGATGGTCTTTCTTGGAGAAATATCAAAAGAAATTTGCTCTCAATAATAGAAAGCATAAAACCTAATAAGCACTAGAAAGAATTCTAAGCATTAGCTTAGGGGAGACAGTGACAGCAGAGTAGATAGGAAAGGGTAGGGGAGCCAGAGTTGAGGCAAGAAAGAAAGTCTTGGCAAGCTGGGAAGTCACTGCTTATTCCTCATTCCTTAGTGTTGTCCAGGGGCTTTTGACACTTCTTTGTTGAGAGCTTTTAAATTGCTCCAATCCTTAAGCCTCAAATAAAAATGGTAAACTTGAAGCCTGAAAGCTCTACCCAAACCATAAACATGCTTCATTTGGCATGCACTACATTGATCTGCACAGCACTTAAAATTTTTTTTTAATTACTTGCTGATACTTGAATTTGCCAATTTTCATATTAAATTGCAGATTGCTGGTATCTCTTCAAAAATGAGGCCAGGTGTGGTGGCTCACGCCTGTAATCCCAACACTTTGGGAGGCTGAGGCAGGAGGACTGCTTGAAACTAGGAGTTTGAAACTAGCCTGGGCAATATAGTGAGAACCTGTTTCTACAAAAAAATTTTAGAAACATTTGGGTCTGACAACATTAGACCTCTATTCCCACATAGCAACAATCCATAGAAGCTGAGTGACAGAACTGTCCTCGTTAGAATGTCACACAAACTCTCTAGCCTGCAACAATTCCTGCTGCTCCCTTTTACTGGCCTAAAATTTGTTATCATACTTGCACTATTGATTTCTTACACTGGGATTAAGAGGAAAATGAGATATATTTCTCATTCCTGTGTTTGCCAATTTTTAAAATACCTTTATTCATTTATTACCTGTGTGGCTCATGTAGACATGTTTGCAACCATTGCATAGAAAGGTTCTATTCTAAATAGGACAGCCACAGTAGCCACTGGGAAATAGTGGTTTGTGGTTCAAGCACAGTAACTAGACCTGCCCCTCTCCCAAACAAAAGCAGTTCCTCTAACACTGAAGCATCCTGTTGGCCAGTTGTGACCCACAGATATGCTATGGTTGGCCTTTGTGGTATTTACTATTATAGAAAAAAATATTAATTAATGTATTTAAAAAGGTTATCCAGTTGCCAGGTTTCTACTGCCTTACTTCTAAATAAGTATGAATTGGGCCGGGCACGGTGGCTCACGCCTGTAATCCCAGCACTTTGGGAGGCCGAGACGGGTGGATCACAAGGTCAAGAGATTGAGACCATCCAGGTCAACATGGTGAAACCCCGTCTCTACTAAAAATACAAAAAATTAGCTGGGCATGGTGGCGCATGCCTGTAATCCCAGCTACTCGGGAGGCTGAGGCAGGAGAATTGCCTGAGCCCAGGAGGCGGAGGTTGCGGTGAGCCGAGATTGCGCCATTGCACTCCAGCCTGGGTAACAAGAGCGAAACTCCGTCTCAAAAATAAATAAATAAATAAATAAAATAAGTATGAATTGTTTGCTATTTGCCTCTGTAGGGATATGCATGTGCTACTTCAGGTCTGAAAGTTTTAGAATTGGGAAGCTTATTCATCTGTGGTAATAGTTCTTACTTCCAATGCCAGCTCTACTCCCGTGGACTAACTGCCTACTGGAAATGCTGTCCCCAAGAGCAGTCGCAGGATAACAACACCTTCCCAGCAACATTCCCTCCATGGCTTGTAACGGGCCCCAAGGTGTGCACTCACTTAGTGACAGTGTCTTGGAACCAGACCCAGAGCTCTGCACCTGATGGAGCCTGCAGGAAGGGTGGCCCCCAGTACCGGGTCCTCCAAAAGCCTTGTGTGAATGACAGGTGCAGCTCCCGTAGAGAATACTTGGAGATCAGCTGCCCCAGGGCTTTGGGAAACAGCCTGTAATGAGACACTGGGCAAAAGGGAGCGGGTGAGTGACGATCCCCACCTCGTCGGGGTCCACACCCAGGATCCAGAACTCCACCCAGGAATTAGACCCCGCCCCCAAGGTTTGCCTCCACTCTACAGCCAGCTAGCAGGCACTACGGAAATCTTTCTCTGGTCAGACCTAGCGCCCTCACCTCCTTCCCGCTGAAGCTCCGAATCCCAGCGCGTGCGGAACTGGAATGTGGCGGCTACATCTCCGGAAGGCAGCGGAGTGATGACAAGCTCCTCTCGCAGGCTGTCGCGCTGGGGTTCTGCAAGGCACCAGCCGCCGGGCCCCAGAAGCAGCAAGACAAATAGAGCAAGCGGCATGGCCGCCGCCATGCCTGCGGCTACTTCCGCCTTCCCAGCGGCGCTAGCCCCCATGGAAGGCCGGCATCCAATAGGAAAGGCGTATGGGAAGTAACTTCCGGTGCCGTCCCGGAAACCGGGATGCAGTTATCAGAGCGACCGCCTGCGCAGGTCGCGGAGATTGTCTCCGAGCTGGTGGGCCTAAAGGGGCACTGCGAGGACATGAGAGGGAGTAGGCAGGACGAGTAACCAGCTTGAAGCCGCGCCCAGTTAAAGGCGATTCCACCCACCAGGACATACTTAATAATATGAAGCTCCGTCACTGTTTTACCCATTTAATAGTTGAGGAAACATTGACTGAAAAAAGTCAATTACTTTTGGGAAAACCGTTCTGGTTTTAAATTGCATTTCCCAAGGTAAGAGGAACCTCCTGCCTCTTAGCTTCTAGTGTCTCCATTTGCTGCAAAACCCCCAAATAACTGTTTCTTTTATTATGAAAATGTTGAAACATACAGCAAAATTGAAAGAATGAGCACCTGTTATAATGAACCTGTTTCCTATCACCTACAAACCTAGACTCTATCATTTATGTTTTACTATATTTGTACTTTACCATATATTTGTATATACATCCATCAGTCCATCTTGTGTTTTGGTGCACTTTAAATTGCAGACAGTGGTACATTTTACGTAGTTCAGCATGCATAAAATTAGAGTTGTTTTTGATTGCATTTTTCTTTTGATGTAAAATTCACATACAGTGAAACGAACAAATCCAAGGTACACATTCACTGAGTTTTGACAAATGCACACACCTATGTAATCTGGACTCCTGTCATGATACAGAACATTTCTAAAATTGGCCAGCACTCTTTCCTAGTCAATCCCTGCTCCTCTACCACCTTCCAAAGGCAACTACTATTCTCATTTTTTCCCCCACAATAGATTGGTCTGTTCCAGAATTAAATATAAATGAAATCATATAGTATATATACTGTGTAAGACTTTTTTTTTCCCCATGGGAAGAATGTTTTTGAGAATCACCAATGTTGTTGCATGTATCCACAATTCTTTTTGATTACTGCATAGTAGTATGAATTTATCCATTCAACTGTTGATGGGCACCTTTAAAGTTTTTGGTTATTATCAACAAGACTGCTGTCTGTGCAAGTTCCTTCGTAGATGTATATTTCTCATATCCTTTGGCTAGGTATTTAAGAGTGAAATTTCTGGCTCAAAGAACAGGTGTATGTTTAATTTTATAAGAAGCTGTTAGAGCTTTCTCCAAAATGTATTATGTTTCCATCAACTATGAGTTCCCATTGCTCCACATCCTGGTCAGCATTTGATGTTTCTAATTTTTTGTACTTTCTGCTTTTAGCCACTTGGGTATGTATGTGGTGGTTGCTCTTTGTGGTTTTAATTTGCATTTCCCTGGTAACTAACAATGTTATGCATCTGTTCTTGTACTTATTGGCCATTTATAAGTTTGTGTGTGTGTGTGTGTGTGTGTGAAAGGTCTGTTAAGGTCTTCTGTGCCCCCACCCCTTTGTTTACTGGCTTGTCTTTTTATTGAGTTTTAGGAGTTCCAGAGTTAAATTCATGCTTTAGTTTTTCCACCTGCCCTGTGGGAAACACATTCATGAAGGATTCATGAGCAGTCTCTTGGTAAAACTCATGGCCACACTTCTAGAAAGAGCCAAATTTGGTGTCAGGCAGGTCTGCTAAGATATGCCCAACCAGCCAGAAAGGAAATGTCAAAAAGACGTCTTTATCTCATTATGCCCTCATTCTACCTACTTTCAGTGTTCCTGCCCCATTAGACATGACATATTAGGAAGGCCATGGGCTTAGATGTCAGAATGACAGGAGTCCAAATGCCTATGCTAGCCTTTAATCCATATGAGCATGATCAACCCATGTCACTTTTCTTCATTTGTAAAATGAAGAAATCTACTTTCAGGATTGTTAAGATGAGAAATTATGTACATGCAGGATATGGAACGTACCAAGTGCTTAATAATAACACTCAACACTATCACCTTGGCACTGTTATCTCTGTTTAGATAATATCTAAGTTTAGATAATAGTGCCCAGGTGATAGGGTTGAATGTTATTAAGAAATATTTAAGAAGTACAGAAACTGAGATAATAAAGGTCACAATGGGTGATGGAGCTAGGACTATAGTCTACACTATCAAACCTCAAAATAATAATTTTTTAAAGGTATCTGCCATCATTGTGACTATTTTGTACTTCGGTGTTTTCCTTTTGAAATTGCCTGTCTCCATCATTCAGGACCCAGCCACCTCTACCTTCTCCTCCTCTAGTGGCTTCATGTACTTCTGCTACATCCCTCATCACATTCTCTTTCCATTATCTGTGGCTATGTCTGCTCCTGGAAGAGCTAGTAGATGCTCAGTAATGCATGAATGAATGAGCAAACAAGATGACATCATAGTGCAGTTCTGTATTTTCTCCATTCTGCCATGCTGTTCAGTGTCAAGTTCTGTGCACTCCTGGGGTTGCTACAGTGTGAGCCTTATAAGGAATCTTTTTCTGAGCTGTAGTCCCTCCTTTCCAGAGTGTGTCAGGATGTCCACCCTATGACAAGTCCATGCAAATATCAGAATATCAGAAGCCACGCTGTGGCTTGGAGACTGCTCCTTGACTTAGAGTTGGCTCCAGATCATCCTTCCATCTGCAAAGGCACTGTGTGGCCTCAGAAACCAGACAGCTAGGCTCTGGGCTGACATAAATCATGGTTTAACTTTAATGCGACACTATAATCAAATAGTGAATCTGAAGATTATCATTTTTAAAAAAGTGACCATAGCAAGTATGTTATTTTATAATCTTTTTCTTTCAACAGTTATCATAACTATCTTTCCACCAAAAATATGTGGTGAATAGATGATACAATCTTGGTACTATTTTGATTGTTTTTGAAGCTGTATGAGGGGAACATCTTTTTATATTTGTTGTATGTTTGAAACCCCCATAATAAGTTAAAAAAAAAAAAAAAAAACCAAAGAAACAAAAAACAGTCAGCTGGAGATGGTGGTGCTGAAGGCCAGCCAAGCCCCTGTGGTTTGGCAGGAGAAAAGGTTATTGTCCCAACTAGGAAGTAGTCCTGGGGTCTCAGCTGACATTAGACTTTTCCAGGCAGGGCTGAGGCTCATAGCAGCCAAGCTGAAGGCTCCCAGTAGACTCACAAACAATTCTACTTCTCTAGAGGGCTGTAAATTCCTCTCCCCAGGCAGGCTCCCCACAATCTTCGCATTGTGTGCCTGGGGTACTAAGAGATTTACTGACATGTTGACAGCAACCACACCAGTCTAGCTTCTCATCATTTGCCATGGAAGGAAGCGGGGTGATCGTGGGAGCTGAGAAGCCCTGCACAGCAAAGCTGTAAGGGTCAAGGGCCGCAGCAGCCCAAGAGATGGCTCAGCCACGGTCAGACAGGAGGTAGACCTTGCTACTCTAAAGGAAGGAGAGAAGGCATAAGAGGACAGAGATTATATCTTCTGTGTGCAGCAAGGTCATAAGGAACCCAAAAAACCCCAAAAGTTAATAGAGGACTGGGCCCTGGCCCAGCTCAGTGGACGATCTCAACTTGGACCTAGAGGCTATTGTACAGAAGGTATTCACTCCACAAGCTTCCTGGAGACAGAGAATGGCTGGTGGACACTTACTTCACTGGAGTTCCCACAAGTTTCTCATTAGTATTAGGAAAAGTACTTAGGAACAGATACTTACACTGGCCTCCTGCAGGGGTGAGAGCAGGATGGGACAATAGGAAGACTGCAGCAGCCTTATCACTCAGCCTTGGGTGGCACAAAATGCTTTAGGATTTTGGCTGAAGGTCACTGATCCCATGGGTGGTATTTAATGTATGAAGGGAGGTGGATTTTTTTTTTTTTTAATGTGAGAAATGAGTTGATGTTCCTTAAGACTGGATCCTATAACCTCTCCTTTTATTCAGCATTCTCTCCCATCATTCACACCCATGGCTTCACTTACCTCCTATACTCTGAGAATGGATCGATTTCTTTTTCCAGCTCAATCCTCTTATCTAAATTCCACATGCATGGGTACAAGGGCCTACTCAACATACCCTCCTGGATGTCTCAAAGACATCTCAAACTCAACATTTCCCAAACCAAATTTGTGGCCCTCTTCTCAAACCTGGTTCTGAAACTGCCCATCTGAGTGACTAGCCCTCTGTTCCAAAAGGATGTAAGGAGGTGGCATGGCTGGAGTACTGCCTCACTTGACAGGCTAAGGTGTTCATGTCTACCTAGAGACACTGGTTTGAGAGACTCTACTGGAAGACTATAGGATGGTTGGCTGGGTGCAGTGGCTCACATCTGTAATCCTAGCACTTGGAGAGGCTGAGGCAGGTGGATCACTTGAGGTCAGGAGTTTGAGACCAGCCTGGCCAACATGGGGAAACCCCATCTCTACTAAAAATAGAAAAATTATCCAGGCCTGGTGGCGGGCACCTGTAATCCCTGCTACTCAGGAGGCTGAAGCAGGAGAATTGCTTGAACGTGGGAGGCAGAGGAGGTTACAGTGGGCCAAGATCATGCCACTCCAGCGTAAGCAACAGAGCGAGACTGTCTCAAAAAACAGAAGACTACAGAATGGTTTAGGGGAGGGGGAAGTGCTAAGAAAAGCAGTGGCATCTTGTCCAACCTCATTTTCCATCTCCTCGGTAAATTATCCTGTTGCAGGAGGTAGAAACAATGGCAGCACCCTTGACCCCTTTCTTTCTCACACCCAACTGTTAAATTTTTAGGAATTTGCCTCCTAAATCTCTCTGCATTCCTTGTTCTCCATCCTCCCTACCTCCACCCTCATCCATTATCTCTCTTCTGGACAGCTGCAGGCATCCACTCTGGTCTCCCCAAATTAGAACTCCACAAGGAGCCCTGCCAGCTATTCTTCCCCTAGTTTACTCCAGTTCATCATTCAGATCTTAGTTTGGTTCAAATGCTACTTCCTTAAGGGAAACACCCCGTGACCTTTCATAGGCTTAACTCCTTCCTGGCACTATCAACACTTGTAATTTTACATTTGGGCCGCCACTAGACTGTAAACTCCATGACAGCAGAGATGATGCCGTTTTGTTTTGTTTTGTTTTGTTTTGCCATTACTACATCCACAAGGCCATGCTCAGTATCTTCCAAATGTTAAATACCCACATTTAGTATTTATTGAATGCACAATGTTGTTTATATCCCACTGACCCAATTAAGTTAAATCATCACCACTGTCTTGTAGGCCCCCGTTACCTCTTGCATGGATTGCTGTGTATTTGTCTTGAGCCTGTCCTCCTCCAGTATGTTCTCTACACTGCAGCTAGAATTGGCTTTTTAACAAGCAAATCCAGTAACTTGTAATCCTTCATTACTCCCAATAAAGTTCAAACTCTTTAATGTGGCCTCTAACATGTAAACTGCTGGTTACCTACCCAATGACTACTGTTCTCTTGTCCCTTAGCAACAAAACAATTCTGTCAAGACAGCAGTGTGCACTGTTAAAGGACTATCCCAGTCTGCTCAGCAGCCAGGGTGCTGGCAGGTAGTACTGAAATCAGATGCTATGGCAAATTCAGTGACTTGAGAGGATTATTTTCTTTCCAAAGGCCGGTCTTCTTCTTTTCTGGATAATGCTATATCCCTATGTCTATAAAAGGTTTACAAATGACACATTTCTCAGTGTTACCAAGTTCTGGCCAATGAGATGGACGATGGAAGTAGATGCTACTAATTAGAACTTCCAAAAATTCAGCTGGGTACAGTGGCTCCTGCCTGTAATCCCAGCACTTTGGGAGGCCAAGGTGGGTAAATCATATGAGGTCAGGAGTTCAAGACTAGCCTGACCAATATGGTGAAATCCCATCTCTACTAAAAATACAAACATTAGCCAGGCGTGGTGGTATGCGCCCGTAGTCCCAGATATTCAGGAGGCTCAGACATGAGAACTGCTTGAACTGGGGAGCCCAGGAGGTGGAGGTTGCAGTTAGCTGAGATAGCACCATTGCACTCTGGCCTGGGTGACAGAGTGAGACTCAGTTTCACACAAAAAAAAGAACTTCCAAAACTTTCTTCCTAAATAGACTGGAATAGACTGGCTGTGCCCTCTTTGCCCATTCCCTCGTTTCCTCTCCTGCTTTCTGCCAGTCTCAAGGTTATGATGGCTGGGGCTTTGACACCCACTTTAGACGTGAGGTATCATTAAGAATGCAAGCCATGTGCAAAAGAGCAAAAAAGAAGCCCAGTGCTCAGTAATGATGACGCTTTCATGTAGCCCTGTATGTCTTACTTCTATATGAGGAAATAACTTTATATCTTAAGTCATGATCTTTCACTAGCTATCAAACTGAAACCTGATCCAGGCTTCAACGCATTTTACAACTTGACCTTTGGCAGTCTTACCTCTCCCTTCATTTCCTCAAATCCAACAATTCACCCAAAAGCAGTGTTTTTCAGCTCCTCAAGCATATGCTCTCTCTATTTAAAGTCTTCACGAGCTGCTCATTCTGCCTGGTTTATGGACCTTGCCTGGCTAACTCCCAATCATCCTTCAGCTAAAAACAGCTCCTCAGTGACCATACAAAAGATGCCCCTATTTTCTGGTGCCAGAGTAGTTCCTCATCATGCTATTTATTACACTGTGAACTGCAGCATTTACTTGATCTTCTCCTCCATAAACAGTAAACTCTATGAAGGCAGGTATACAGTACAGCCTGTCTTGCTCTAAACTGTATTCCAGATGCCTAGTGCGAGTGTTCAATAAATATTTCTTGACTAAATGGAATGAATGAGTGATAGGAATATGGGATTGGTTAGAGAGCTAAAGACGTATAGTGGGTCTGATACATTTGCGATGTGAAAAATGAGGTAGAATAGTTGGCATATGATTATTAGTTTATTATTTATACCGTGCTCTGTTCCAAAAAGGATGTAAGGGGGCAGCATGGCTTTAGTACCGCCTCACTTGATGTGTTAAGGAGTTCACGTCCATCTAGAGACACATGTTTGAGAGACGCTATTAGAAGACTACAGGATGGTTTGGGGTAGGGAAGAGTGCTAAGAAAAGCAGTGATATCTTGTTCAACCTCATCTTCTCTCTCCTCACTTGGAAATCCTATCTCAGGAGTGAGCTACAAACTGGCGGGAGGGTTGAAGCAGGAAAAAGGTTAGTAGTAAAGCAAGAGAGGGTTAATTCTTAGAAAGGTACACAATCCCACCATCCTTCCCACCTCTGGTGCCTACTGCAAGTCAAGTCTGGTCTTCTCCCAAAAGGCTCTGGCTGGGCCTACGGTCTTGTGTGGAGAATAGCCAGTGTGGTCAGTCTGTAGGCAGGGCAGGGGCCCACTGCTAGCTGCAGGCTCCAGGCTCTGCCCCTCCATCACTCCTTTCCTCCTCTTCATCCGACTGTGCCAAGGGCGTGTCTGCTCCATCATCACTTGGATTTGGGCTGTGCAGGTTAGTGGAGGAGTCAGAGGATGAGGAGGAGGTCCTAGATGTGGTCCTGTCTGATGTAGGCACCGGCAGGCTCAGCTCCTCCAAATGGCTGTCGACCCCTGCCCAGAGAGAAAGCTGGTCAGGCCACAAACAGGGCTTCAGAGAACTCTTACAGATAAACTCTTACAGAGCCAGGATTAAGACCACCATCTCCTGATTGCCAGCCCCTTCCATGTCATTACGCATGTCTGGGTTCTTAGAGTCGGGTCAATTAATGCAAGAGTTCAAGTTCCACCTGCATCACTTACTGCTGCTGAGTGGCTTTGAGCAAGTCACTTTCCCTTTCAAGGACTCTGTTCCTCCTTGGCAAAATGAAAGGGATACCTACATCCCCAAAACGTTTTGGGACTAAAATCTAAGAATGCTTATAAAATGTCTGGCATAGTAAGCCATCAATAATAAATAGTAGCAGTTTTAATTAAAAGAATATCTATCTTACAGGTTAAGCATATGGGCTTTGGAGTCAGACAAACATGAATTCTAGTCTATCTACCTTCTGGCTACAATGTGACTTAACTTCTCTGAGCCTAATTTCCTGCTTATAAAATGGGGATTATATCACCTACCCTGATGGGACATTGTAAGGACTGAGAGAATATATGTAAAGTACTTTAGTACAGTATTAGAACCTATTAAAGTACTCAATAAATATTAATATCATTATAATGACTAAAACTAGTTAAGTTGCCAAATGTAAAAATTCTCTTTTCACATTATTTTAATTATAGTGACTAATTATATTAATCTAACAAATGTAAAATTAAAGAAGAGATTGGCCATTTCTAGAATTTTGGATTGGAGATGTGTAAACCAGTTCCCCCTCACAGTTAACTTCCCTAAAATCAAAACAGGCAGCTGTTTCGTTGGTGGAAACACCCACTTCCAGCCCTTACTTGTATACTTCCCAGCCCAGCCTTGCAGCCTCATTTTAGAGCCTGACATCCGGCTCTGGCTGACTAGCACTGAAGTCGCCAAAGCAGAGGGCATACCAGACGACTGGGGGGTTGGTGGAGGATCTTCGCAAGGCAAGAACACATCTGCTCCGTCCTGATCCCCAAGGTCAATAAGTTCTACTTGCTCCAGTGTGTCCACATTCACTTCCATGGATGAGATACTACCTATGGGGGCTGTGGATCAAGAAGGGGGCAAGTCAGGAGGACCCAGGCTGCACACCAGGACAGTGAGAGTTACGTGTCAGGTCCCAAGTTAGAAGCAGAGAGGGCCAAGAAAACCAGAGGGGAGAGAGTCCCACAAGATTCAGGACCCACAGGACATTCCTGCCCTACCCTAGTCCCTATACTCAGAACTTGGGACTTACGTCTCTGTGACTCGAGATGCAGGTGGGACAGAGGAAAGACAAACTCTGTCTCTGGCTGTAAAATGTCCTCGAAGAATTTCTGCCGCTCCCGAAGGCGGAGCTGCTGGCGCTCCAGGGTGGCCCGAGGATTTGGGTCCATGTCAGCTCCTGCGGGAAGAGGAGCAAGACAAGTACAGCTGCAAAGTCGAAAGAGAAGATGTGGGCAGGGGCCTGGGCTCAGGGAGCCCCACTGCAGCCAGCATCCCAGCAGTGGGGCCCCTGGCTCTAGCCTGGACACCTCTGCCCTTGGCGACCTCTTTCCCCTTCCCCCGAAACCAAGTGTGTCCCACAAACCAAGTCTCATGCAGAGGCGGGGCTTGCCCTAGCTCCACAAAGGGGATGCCAGTTCCAGGCACCACAAGAGAGATACTCTGTATTCAGGGAAAACAGCCAACGTCCAACTCTCCCTATCATGCCCTCCTGAGAGGGGTTAGAGGGATTACACGAGTTGGTTCAGAATAAATGGAGGAGGTACTTTTTTCCCTTAATAGACCCTGCTTGCCTCAGAAGGCCAGGGGCAGGACAGGATAGCGACAGAGATTTCAGGGTAGAGGGTTCCCTTCCTCCAGTGCTGCAGCTGTGACTCCTCCCCATCCTTCAAAACCCAAAGGATAAAGCAACCCCTCCCGCACCCCTCCCTTTCTACACACACACGCACACACACGTGCACACACACGTGTGCCATCCACTCCAAGCCTTGCTCTGAAGTCACAGACCTGACTTCCAGACTAGGTTCTGCCTCTAGGGAAATCACCTTTCTGGTCTTAGTCTCCCCATCTGAAAATGGCATAATCAACCTACCTGCCTCAAATACAAGACCCTGTTTGTGAAGGTGAGCTATTTAGGAGACGACCATCTTTCCTTTGAATTCCCACAGCTCTTTATCTGTCCCCCTCGTCGGACACATCTCACTGACTTATCTCCCCATTAGTCAGTGAGGAGCAATTGGAAAGGCGGGTCCTGGGTCCAGTTCAGAGCAGGCCTTCTGACCCCTAGGGCTGAGAAGCTGCGAGCCAGCCAGAGCACTGAGGCTATGGGCCAGCTCAGGCCGGTGCATTCACTCGCATTCGCCCCTCTCCTTCCCGGCGTTCTGCTCTGAGCCCATCACCAGAGGCAGGAGAGTTTCCAGCTTGAGGATCAGACGTCATCCTCCGCAGACCGCCTTCCCCACCTCATCTGCACCCAGCGTATCCCAGACCCTGGCCAGCTCCAAGGGCGCCGCGGAGGTGGAGAGGGACCCAACCCCGAGTGGGCAAGGCAGGGCCAAGGAAGTGTGGAGAGACCGTGCAGCCGCGAGCCGGCCGCGGAGGAACGAGGTGCTGACGCCGATTCCAGGGAAAGGCTCTTAGAGCTGCCGACCAGGTCACAACGCTAAAAATACCCAGGCCCCTGGAGCCAGTGCTCCAGAAGCCGGGAGGGGGAGGGAGAGGTCGAGGTGGGGGAGCTGATGGGGTCAGGAGCTCCAGGACGCCCCCTCTCTTTTCCCCTCCCCCTCGCCCCACCGATCTCACGAGACTGAAGGAGCTGCCCCCTGGGTGGCCGCGGAGCCCAGAGCTGGAGAAGCGGAGTTGTTTACGCGACTATAGGTGCTGGGGAGAGGGTGAAGAGATTTGGGGGCAGGAGGCTGCCAGGGGCCGGGCAGAAGCCAGCGAAATGGAGAACTCCCTCTCGGTCTCAGCCCCACCCGCACTGGAGCCAGCAAGAGGGAAAAAAATTCCCTAAAAAGGGACGCGCGGCGTCGGCGGAGGAAGGAGGAGGTGGGGGAGGGCGCTCCCCCCAGGCCGTTCCCCTCGTGGTCCGGTTTCTCTGCGATCCCCTGAGGCACCTGCGCCCACCGCCGCCGGAGCCCCTACCTGCAGCGCCTGCGCCCCCGCTGACTCAGTCCGTCCGCTCCGGCGAGGCGGCGGCGGGGGCGTGGGAGCGAGCCGCGCCGGCCGGGGTGGGGCTGCGCCTCCAGGGCTCCCGGGGGACCGACGGGCCCTGGGAGCCGGGAACGAGGAAGAGGCGGGAGGCGGAAGTGGGGGAGGGGCGGCGGCGGGCGCACTCGCTCGCCGCTCGCCCAGAGGCCGGAGGCAGCCCCGGCGAGCGCGACTACTGGTACTTCCAAGGCGGTCAAAAAGTTACCCGCACGCATCCTTCCTCCCTCCGCCCAGCCGGGTTCCGCTGCACCACCCTCGCCGCCGCCGACGTCGGTGCGCTTGCCTCTGCTTGCTCGGATGCACTTGCTGCGCCCCCGCCCCACGCAGACCCACGGCGGGTACCCACGCCGGCTCTGCCCACGCACACTTGATGCTCTGCGCCTGCTGGGCAGCGCCCACGCAACGACTACGCACCCGAACCCTGCCTCCCGCACCCTTGGCCACACTTGCCACACTTACACGCGCGCACTTCTCCAGAGGACTCACGATGGGAAAGAGAGGGTGGGGACCCGCTGGAGGGGCAGGACACTAACCCGATGCCGCCCAGCAGGGCAGGTGCACAGCAGTGGAGGATCCCTGCCCCGGGACTCGCCCGGCTGGCTGCCCCCGATTCCAGACTCCGGGACTAGACAGAGCCGCCGCCCAACCTACCAGCGCACTGGGCGGGGTGGGAGCCGGGCCGGGCGGGTCAGGGCTGGAGGGGTGGGCCGCTGCGCCGCGCCCCCAGACGTCGGCCAGGAGCCAGCACCTCCACGGTGCTAAGAGGGGCGCTGCACTGCCGGCCTGGCAGGGGTGGAGGGGCGAGGCGGCAACTGCGAGAGGAGAAACGTTTGCCCTCTTCGCAGCGCCTCCTGGCTCAGACCAGTGCTAGAAGTGTCCAGTCTAGCAGCTCCTGGAACGAGACTCCGTGGCCATTCCCTTCCTCCTCCCTTCCAGCCATCCCCTTATAGTCATTGCTCTGAAAGCAGCGTGGGGACGTGTGCGGGGAGGGGAGTGGGGAGATCGCTCTGAGATACTTCTGCCGTAGGGTCACTGGATCATTCATTCGACAAACATCCGCGAGCAAGCCAGGAACTAGGAGTCATCCTTGCTACTCCCGCTCCCTCTAAAATACACCTTCATTTCCTGTCGATTCTCCTTCCTAAATATCTTTCCAGTCCACCATTCCTTCCGTTTGCCCCACCATCTCCCGCCTGGGCTCCTAATGCAGTAGCCTTCTCTCTGGTTTTCTTGTACTCACTCCGGCCGGGCTACACTCCATTCCCTGCATTGCAAGTCGGCTGTTATTTCAGAGTCCAAGTCTGATGTGCCCCCCCCGCCCCCGCCCCCCGCACCTCCGCCGTTGTCCAAATCCCTCCATTGTTAGAATAAAATCCGGGCGCTGATATCTGAGCTAAGTCTTGAAGACTTGAGTTCAACAAGCAGAAAAGAGGGGGAAGGGCATGTGCAGAGGGAGGGAAGTGTGAACAAATCATTGACACATTCAGGTTTCCCTGACGGGACCAGCATTCTGTACAAATACCTAAAGCACTGACTTCCTCTTATATTACTGGGCTCTCAAAACAACCCTGTGAGATAAATACAGCATGCAACTTTCCCACTAGTTTACAAGCATGGAAACTAGTTTGCGGGAGGCAACAAATGCAGTGGTTAAGAGCACAGGCATTGCAGTCAGACTCTCTTGGGTTGTAAACCTATTGCTGCCTCTACCCAGCTGGGTAAACACTTCTCTGATCCTTGATCTCTTACCGATTAAATAGGAATAATTAATCCCTCCCTCTTATGAAGTAATTTATATAAAATGCTTAGTTCTAGGACTTGGGCACTTTGGAAATGCTCAGTAACCATTAGCTGTTCTGATTGTAATGGGGTCTGAGAAAGGGAGGGAACTGCTCTCTTCCACCAGTTTCTGAAACTGTAGGAAGTAAGCCCTAATTGTTAACACTTCCACAGAGCTTATTATGTGCCAGTCACTATTATAAGTACTTTACAAAAATTAACCCTTTTAATCCTCTTGCTGTTTCCACTTTACATATACAGAAATTGAGATACAGAGAGGTGAAGGAACTTGTCCCAAGCCCTACAGCTTAGTAAGTGATGGAACTGGAATTTAAGCCCAGGTAGACTGCCTCCAGAGACTGTAACCACTACTCCCAGGCTGTTCCCCTTTTATCCTGTTATAGTTTTCATCTACTAAGAAATATTTCAGTGGGTTGGTTTGATTCTTATTTCTCACTATGAATAGAGTAGACAATTCATCTAATTTTCTAGCACAGAAAATGAGGCCAAGTCAGGAGTACAGTGGATGAGAACTTAGCTCCCAAAGTCATGTCCCCATTTTCAGAGATGTATACTTTCTTTTTTTTTTTTAGATGGAGTCTCGCTCTGTTGCCCAGGCCCGGGCTGGAGTACAGTAGCACAATCTCAGCTCACTGCAACCTCTGCCTCATGGGATCAAGCAATTCTCCTAACTCAGCCTCCTGATTAGCTGGAATTACCGGCATGTGCCACTATGCCCCTGCTAATTTTTGTATTTTTAGTAGAGATGGGGTTTTGCCATGTTGGCCAGGCTGGTTTTGAACTCCTGGCCTCAAATTATCTACCCATCTCAGTCTCCCAAAGTGCTGTGATTACAGGAATGAGCCACTGCGCCAGCCCAGACATATCCTTGAGAACACGACTCCGTGGATTATTTTCAGCCCAAGATGAAGAAAGATTGGGAACCTCTGTCCCTTCTCTTTGCCAGATATTTGCCATAAAGAAGGAATGGAGAGGGGGAAACGTAATCTGAAAATATTTCAGGGGCTAAGCTGGAAGGGTGTCACCTAAGAGAAAGACCAGGCAGCAGGCCAGGAGTGGGTGGCCAAAAGGTTGAAAAGCACTGTGAAAAGGGAGATGGATTTAGACACTGGCTTCCACCTAAGATGCAGAAAGCTAAGAAGAGCATCAATACCACACTACGAAGTTTTAGAAATTGTTGGGTAATGTACAAAATCACAACTTTTGTCAAACTTATGAGAGACCTAAGGTTGCAGAGCAACCAATTAAACTGCATTCCAAAGAAGGACAGGAGCCTTCAAGAAGAGATGGGATGCAGGCACTCGCTCAGTTGTGTAGCAGGAGAAAGACAAGCTCTCCTTGCAAGTATGTAAGAAAAGTTCAGCTAATGTTTATGTTTTTATTTTTTAGAGACAAGGTCTCACACTGTCCAGAGGCTGAAGTGTAGTGCTACAATCATGATTCACTGTAACCTTAAACTCCTGAGCTCAAGGTATCCTCCCACTTCAGCCTCCCAAATATCTAGAACTACAAATGTACATTACCACACATGGTTAATTTTCTGTTTTTGAGGGGAAAGAGATGGGGTCTTGCTATGTTGTCTAGGCTGGTCTCCAACTCCTGGCCACAAGTGATCCTTCTGCCCCAGCCTCCCAAAGTGCTGGGATTATGGATATAAGCCAATATGCCAGGCCAAAATTTTTATGGAATTACTAAATACCCAGTATAGCTAGCATGACTATATAGAATCTGTAGGAGATATAGACACTGAAGTAATCATAGAAACAACAAAACTCAAACCTAATTCAATTCCTGAAAAAATCGACGGAATCCTCCACACTAATAGCCTAAGAGAAGAGATATGACAATTTCTAGGCATAAATAATAATAAACTCGGTCCTTACTATTCTAAACACTGTGGCCAAAACTCAATAAAAAATTATAACACAGGCCAGGTGCAGTGGCTCACACCTGTAATCTCAACACTTTGAAAGACCAAGGTGGATGGATCACCTGAGGTCAGGAATTTGAGACCAGCCTGGCCAACATGGTGAAACCCCATCTCTACTAAAAATATAAAAATTAGCTGGGCATGATGGCAGGTGCCTGTAATCCCAGCTATTCAGCAGACTGAGGCAGAATTGCTTGAACCTGGGAGGTGGAGGTTGTAGTGAGCTGAGATTATTTCACTGCATTCCAGTCTGGTTGACAAGAGCAGAACTCCATCTCAAAAAAAAAAAAAAAAAACCCCACAAATTTTAAAATACCAAAACAAAACAAACAAACAAAAAACTTGTCAAGAGACAAAGCAGGCCAGATGTGGTGGCTCATACCTCTAATCCACCATTTTGGGAGGCCGAGGCAGATGGACTATTCAAGGACAGGAATCTGAAGACCAGCCTGGGCAATATAGTGAGGCCCTGTTTCTATATTAAAGGGAGAAACAGAAAGAGACAGAGAGAGAGAGGAAAAAAAAAAGACCAGGTTTAAGACCCAGATGCTGTAGTCATCTGACAGAGAACTTAAGACAACTATAAGTAATATGTGAATATGAAAGGCTCGTGTGAATAATGTAGACAATATGAAAGAACAGAAAAGAAATTTTTGCAGAAATATAAAGACTGGCAAAAAAAGAAATATAGAGAAATGCTAGAAATGAGAAAAAACACATATACATAACAGATTTGAAGAATGCTGTTGACAGGCTTATCAGTACACTCGTCCTTTCTCGTGCTACTATAAGAACACATCTGAGACTGGGTAATTTATAGTGGAGAGAAGTTTAATTGATTCACAGTTCCATGGGGGTGGGGAGGCCTCAAGAAACTTACAATAATGGCAGAAGGGGAAGCAAACATGTCCTTCTTCACATGGCGGCAGCAAGGAGAAGTGCTCAGTGAAGTTGGAGGCCTTTGATGCCAAGGCTTGGGGCTTGCACCCTCTGAAGCAACAGCCTGAGCTGTACCTTGGCCCCTTTTTGCCACGGTTGGAGTGGCTGGGATGCAGGACACCAAGTCTGGAGGCAGCACACAGCAAGGGAAGCTCTGCACCTGGCTCAGGAAACCATTTTTCCCTTCTAGTCCTCTGGGCCTATGATGGGAGGGGCTGCTGTGAAGGTCTCTGACATGTCCTGGAGACATTTTTCCCATTGTCTTGGTGATTAACATTTGGCTCTTTGTTACTTATGCAAATTTCTGTAAGGGGCTTGAATTTCTCCCCAGAAGAACATGGATTTTTTTTTCTATAGCATCATCAGTCTGCAAATTTTCCAAACATCTACACTCTGTTTTCTCTTAAATGTTTTGCCACTTAGAAATTTCTTCTGCCAGAAACCCTAAATCATCTCTCTCAAGTTCGAAGTTCCACAGATCTCTAGGGCAGGGGCAAAATGCCACCAATCTCCTTGCATAGCAAGAGTGACCTTTATTTCAGTTCCAAACTAGTTCCTCATTTCCATCTAAGATCACCTCAGCCTAGACTTCATTATCCGTATCACTATCAGCATTTTGGTCAAAGCCATTCAACAGTCTCTAGGAAGTTCCAAACCTTCCCAAATCTTCCTGTCTTCTGAGCCCTCCAAGACTTTAGGAAGTCCCAAACTTTCCCACATTTTCCTACCTTCTTCTGAACCCTCCAAACTGTTCCAACCTCTGTCTGCTACCCAGTTCCAAAGCTGCTTCCACATTTTCAGGTATCTTTATAGCAGCACCCCACTGTACCAATACCAAATTTACTGTATTAGTCTGTTCCCACACTGCTATAAGGGCACATCTGAGACTGGGTAGTTTACAAAGGAAAAAGGTTTAATTGACTCACTTTTCCACAGAGCTGGGGAGGCCTCTGGAAACTTACAATCATGGTGGAAGGGGAAGCAAACATGTCCTTCTTCACATGGTGGCAGTAAGGAGAAGTGCTCAGTGAAGAGGGAAGCCCTTTATAAAACTATCAGATCTTGCAAGAACTAACTCACTATCATGAGACCAGGATGGGGTAACCATTATCCTCACCTGGTCCCTCTCATGACACATAGGGATTATGGGAACTACAATTCAAGATAAGATTTGGGTGGGGACACAACCAAACCATATCAGCCAATAAACTCAATATAGCTGAGGAAAGAACCAGTGAACTTGAAAACAGGTCAATAGAGACTACTCAAACTGAAACAGAAAGAGAAAAGAGTGAAACAAACAAAAACCAGAACAAATATCCAACAGCTAACATATAAGTAATTTACATCCCAGAAGAAGAAACAGAGAAAAAAATACATACATAGATATAATATTTACTTGTAGATATAATAGCCAATAATTTTCCAAAAATAATGAAAGATATCTAACCACAGAGCCAAGAAACTCACAATCCAGAAAATATTTTTTTTCTCTTTTTTTTTTTTAAGATGGGGTTTCACCATGATGGCCAGGCTGGTCTTGAACTCCTGACCTCAGGTGATCCACCCACCTTGGCCTCCCAAAGTGCTGGGATTACAGGCATGAGCCACCACTCTTGGCATCCAGAAAAGATTTAATACCAATATACAAACACAACAAATAAGCACATGCAAACGCAACCTAATATATCATATTCAACCTGCTGAAAACCAAAGATAGAGAGAAAATATTGGAAGTATGTAGAGGAAAAAGACATACTCCCTACAGAGGAACAAAGATAAGAATTACAGAAGACTTCTCATCAGAAAATATATGACAAGAAGATAACAGAGTCATATCTTTAAAATACTGAAAGATAAAAAACTGCCAATCCAGAATTCTATAGCTAGCAAGAATATCTTTCAAAAGTGAAGGAAATGCAAACACTTTTTCAGATTAAAAAAAAAAATAACAACATAAAATTCATTACCAATGGACCAGCACTATAAGAAGTGGTCATAGAAGTTCTGTAGGCAGAAGAAATATAATACCTGAGAGAAACTTGGATCTATGTAAAGAAATGATGATCTCTGGAAATGGATAGAATAAAGGTAAATATAAGAGACACTGTTTCTCATTTTTTCTCACCTTAAAAGGTAATTGCTTTACTAAAACAATGCATTGTGGCCTTATAGCATATATAAAAGTGAAATGTATGACAATAACAACAGTAAAAATGAGGAGATGGAGGAATTGGAAATATGCTGTTAAAGGGTTCTTATGATATATAAGAAGTGGTATAACATTATTTGAAGATAGACTGATTAATTAAAGGCCAGTAAATTAAATAACAACCACTAAAAATTTTTTTTAGAGAGGTCTAAGTAACAAACCAATAATAGACAGAAAATGGAATCATAAAAATGCTGGAATAGGTAACTATGTGAGATGATGGATATGTTAATTTGCTTCACTATAGTAACCACTTTACTATATGTATCCCATATCATCATATTGTTTATCTTAAATATATACAATAAAATTTATTGTTTTAAAATGACTGTCGAACATGAAAACAAGTACATGTAATAATTTTTTCTAATGTTGGGAGGCTTCCTCCTTGGGCCACTTGTGTCCAATGTGTCTTGCTGATGATGTCAAGATCACAAGGCCCTGACCTCTCTTTCACCTGGGTCTTTGTTCAGGACTGTTAGTACAGCTAGAGTTTTGAGACATGATATCATTTCTTAGACCAAGGCAGACTTGCTTACTGCTTGCTATAAAACGTCCTGGGGCTGGGCGCGGTGGCTCATGCTTGTAATCTCAGCACTTTGGGAGGCTGAGGCAGGAGAATCACTTAAGCCCAGGAATTCAAGACCAGCCTGAGCGACACATGAGACCCTGCCTCAAATAAATAAATAAACAAAATAAAATAAAATAAACATTGCTGAGCATAGGTCCCTCAGCTGCAATGCAAACCCACTCTGTGAATACTATGAATCTGGGCTCACTGCATCACTTGTCGAATGTAGGACTAGAGAACCAACACAACTATGCTGATGTTCACATTGTTTGTTATGCTATGAATAATAGACTATTTCAATCAGATGCAATAAATCTTGTCTACTCGCAGCGCCCATGAGATTAGGAGTTTCCCTTTTCAAAACATAATCCTAATAAAGGAAGAAAAAAGAAGAAAACACAGATGCAAGAATAGAAAACAAATAACAAGATGATAGATTTTAATCCAGTGTATCAGTAAAAAGACAATGAATTAAAAGACAAATTAGCAGACTGGAACAAAGTAAGAGGCAATAATATGTTGTCTACAAGAGCCACTTTAAATATAAAGAAATATATGGGTTAAAAGTAAAAGGATGTATAGAGGAATTGGAACCCTAAAAAAAAAAAATGAATGGAATAAGATACACCATACAAACATGAATCAAACAAAGTTGGAGTGACAGTATTAATATCAGACAAAGTAGATTTCAGAAGGACTATCACCAGAGATAAAAAGGAGTATTACTTAATTATAAAAAGTTCAATTCACCAAGAAGACTCAACAATCATAAGTGTGTATATACTAACAACAGTGCTTCAAAAATATATGAAGTAAAAACCAGTAGACCTGAAATAAGAAACAGAAAAATCCATATTGCACTTAAAAAATTCAACTCTTCTCTCTCAATAATCAATAAAATAAGTAGACCAAGAAAGTAAGAATATAGAAAACCTTAGCACTATCATTAATTTCTCCTAATAATATTTTCATGACACTTCACCCAACAACAGCAGAATAAACATCCTTTTCAACCGCACATACAACATTCAATGAGAGAGTCATCATATTCTGGGCCATAAAAACAACCCTCAACGAATTTAGAAGAATTTAAATCATTTAAATTATGTTATATGACCATAACAGAATTCAACAGAAATAATAACGGAAAGATAACTGAAAGACAATCCCAGTACTTCAAAATAAAACAGGAGTCAAAGATGAAGTCCAAAGGAAATTAGAAAATACATGGCTTGGTGCAATGGCTCAGGCCTGTCATCCTAGCACTTTGGGAGGCTGAGGTGGGCAGGTCGCTCGAGTTTGAGACCAGCCTGGGCAACATGGCAAAACTCCATCTCTATAAAAATTAGCCAGGCATGGTTGCTCAGGCCTGTAGTCCCAGCTACTTGGAGGCCTAAGGCAGGAGGATAACTTGAGCCCAGGAAGTGGAGGTTGCAGTGAACTGAGATCCCACCACCACACTCTAGCCTGGGTGACCAAGCGAGACCCTGTCTCAGAAAAAAAATGAAAACATGTTGAACCAGGCACGGTAGCTCATGCCTATAGTCTCAGCATTTTGGGAGCCTTGCCAGGAGGTTCACTTGAGCCCAGGAATTTGAGACCAGCCTGGGCCACATTGACAGAAACCTCATCTCTACAAAAAATACAAAAATTAGCCAGGCATGGTGCTCCATGCCTGTAGTCCCAGATACTCGTGAGGCTGAGGCAAGAGATTTGCTTGAGCCTGGGATGTTGAGGCTGCAGTGAACTGAGATCACATCACTGCACTGTAGCCCAGGTAACAGAGTGAGACCCCATCTTAAGGCCAGAAGCAGTGGCTCATGCCTGTAATCCCAGTACTTTGGGAGGCCAAGGTGGGTGGATCACTTGAGGTCAAGAGTTCAAGACCAGCCTGGCCAACATGATGAACCCCTTTTTTCTTCTAAAAATACAAAAATTGGCTGGACGTAGTGGTGGTGCCTGTAAACCCAGCTACTCAAGAGGCTGAGACATGAGAATCACTTGAACCTGGGAGGTGGAGGTGGCAGTGAGCCTAGACTGCACTACTGTACTGTAGCCTGGGTGACAGAGTGAGACTCAGTCTCAAAATAATAATAAGAAGAAGGAGGAGGAGGAGGAAGGGGAGGAGGAAGGGGAGGGAGAAGAAGAGGAGGAGGAGGAGGAGGAGGAGGAAGAGAAGGAAGAGAAGAAGAAAAATAGCTAGGTGTGGTGGTTCAGGCCTGTAATCTTAGCACTTGGGGAAGCCAATGAGGGTGGATCACTTGAGGTCAGGAGTTTGAGACCAGCCTGGCCAACATGGTAAAACCCAATCTCTACTGAAAATACTAAAATTAGCCAGGCATGGTGGCATGCATCTGTAATCCCTGCTCCTTGGGAGGCTGAGGCAGGAGAATCACTTGAACTCGGGAGGCAGTTTGCAGTGAGCTGAGTTCACGCCATTGCACTCCAGCCTGGGAGACAGAGTGAGACTGTCTGAAAAAAAAAAGAAAAAAGAAAAAACATATTGGATGGAATAAAATTGAAATGCCACAGTCAGCCACCAAAACAGCTCCCAGTGTTCCTTACTGTCTGTTATTTATACCCTGGGCAGTCCTCTCCTACACTGTACCAAGGTTATGTCATAGGAACCTTTGGGTGTCACTTCATCAGCGTGAAAGCCTCCGTTGCTGGTGGCACCTCTGCTTGAGTTTTGCTTGCGTCCGCTGGGCTCATTCTGCCAACTTGCCTAGCAGGCTCAGCTTGGCTAGTGCTACCATCCCGGATCCCATGCCTGCCAAGGGAGAGCCAGGCATGGAGTGGCGGGCGGAGGTGCTTGTGAGCAAGTGAGTGTGGGGTCCGGTCACTGCACACAGCCAGGCACTCAGGCTGCTGTGGCCTGTTGGGCAGCTCCAGGCACTGGCACAGGTACCAGCTCCGTGCAAGGCTGTGGCTGGACCAGACGTACTGCAAGCAAGTACCAGACGCCGTGGGCACTAGCATCTGGACCAGGGGAACGCAGTGATACCCGAAAGTTCAGAGACACCAGGAACTGCAGAGCCCTGAAGACGGTGTTACAGCATGTCATAGCCCTGCCTTAGGGAGCCCCGAGATCTGGGCCCCCAGAAGGGCCGCAGCTCTTTTCTCTTTCTCATCACCTGCAGCAGTGAGTTGGGAGGTGGGGGGGCTGTATTTCAGGGGGTGGTGTTTCAGCCCATTTGTGTTACCACTCTTTCAGTCCTACCACCCTGCTCTGGCCTGCGGCTCCTGGGCTGGCCTGGACTAGCCATTGCTTCCTCTTGTGTGGGTTGGCAGCTGGGTACTGGCAGAGGGTAAGAGAACTATAGTGTTACCCCTCTGGCTTGAAGAATCCCAAGGTCTGGACCCCCAGAAGGGTCTCCACTCTTCACTCCCGCAGTTCAGAAGCAAATCACTGCCTGCACCTCAGTGAGGTAGCCAGGAATGTATTACAGTCCCTGCAGTTCCCACTGGCTAGGAAAGCGTTAGTTCCTTTCACTTCTGCATTTGGTGGGTCCTGAGTTCTCGTCCAGCATCCAGGAAGAATGAGGTTACATAGACAACTGGAGAGTGAGCAAGGCAGAGAATAGCTTTATGGGGTGACCAAAGAACTCTCACAGGAGAGAGGACCTGAAGTTGGTAGCTCCTATCTACAGGCAGGTAGTCCCAACCAGTCTGTGAGTCTGGCTGGGTCGGGAAAAAGCACCATCTGATTGGTGGAAAGGCATCAAGGAAGTTCTCACTCCAGGTACTGAACTCCACCCAAAACTGGCAGCCTGGAAGTCAGGCTTCAGGCCATCCCTGGCTTGAAGGTGGGGTTTCACCAGGAATCCGCCCCTTCCCACCTAGGAACCTGTCTGCCTCCCGCCACCATCAGTTCCTCTATGTGACCCATAGGGTATGTCAGAAATGATGGTATGTCGCTTCTAAATTTAAATTAAAAAAAAAGACTGCAGCTTCTGTCTTGAGTATGTACTCTATTTTTTGGATCACTCACTCTGGGAGGAGCAAGCTACCATGCTGTCAACAGCCCTATAGAGAGGCCCACATGGCAAGGAATGCAAGCTTCCGTCCAAGAGCCCATGAAGGCTGAGGCCTGCCAGCAACCACGTGGTTGAGTATGGAAACTGATAAACTGGCCCTAGTAAAATCTTGAGATAATTGCAGCCCTGGCCAGAAGTTTGACTGAAAACTCATGGGAAACTTAGGCAGAACCACTCAGTTAAACCACTCCTGGATTCCTGATGCTCAAGCACTTTTGAGACAGTAAATACTTCTTGTCTTAAGCTGCTAAACCCTGGGATCATTTCTTATGCAACAATAGGTAACATATGAAGATTCTGTTCATGGGAACATACAAAGAAAAAAAGATTTTGGTACTGGGTAAAGTACTGGTGTAACAGCACTCTACAATGCAGGAGTGGCATTCAAATTGGACTTTGAGAAGAGCGTAGTAAAAACCTGAAGTGCCCTGAAGAAGCTGTTAAAGAAGCCTCAGCCCTTAGATAAGGTGCAGTGAGGGCATGCAGGAAAATGAAGTAAATACTGTTTTTCTGGTTGTTGTTGTTTTTTCTGAGACAGAGTTTTGCTCTTGTTGATCTCGGATCACTGTAACCTCTGCCTCCTGGGTTCAAGTGATTTTCCTGCCTCAGCCTCCCAAGTAGCTGGGACTACAGGTGTGTGCCACGACGCCTGGCTAATTTTTTGTATTTTTTTTAGTAGAGATGGGGTTTCATCATATTGGTCAAGCTGGTCTTGAACTCCTGACCTCAGGTGATCCACCTGCCTCAGCCTCCCAAAATGCTGGGATTGCAGGCATGAGCCACCATGGCCAGTCAAGTGAAGTAAATATGGAAACTACATTTGACACAAAAATTAGCAACCCTATTGCCTGCAATGAAGTAGAAAACAGAATATGTGCCGAATGAATTGGGTGATCTAAGTAAAACAGTTTCCAAGCGAAATGTTAAAGGTGCCACCGGCTTTCTTCTCGCTGCCTATAGTGAAAGGCAGGAGGAAAGGGGTAAACTAAAGCAAGAGCTCTCGAGTGAGAGTGATACTGCCTCCCAGGGGACATTTGGCAATGTCTGGAGACATTTTTAGATGTCAAAGCTGGGGAAGTTGCTACTGCCATCTAGTCAGCAGAGGCCAAGGATGCTGCTAGACTTCCTACAATGTATAGGGCAGGCCCCTTCAAAACACCCCAATCCCCCTACCAAACATACACATCAAATAACTATCCTGGCTGAAATATCAATAGGGCTCAAGTTGAAAAACTCTGAACTTTTTAAAGGACAGAATATTAAACATGAAAGAGCTAGGACTTCATGATTTAGAAAATGCTCATCCTCTCCAAATTGCAGATGATAGTAATCCCAGCTACTTGGGAGGCTGAGGCATGAGAATCACTTGAAGCTGGGAGCTAGAGGTTGCAGTGAGCAGAGATCACGCCACTGCACTCCAGCCTGAGTGACAGAGTGAGACTCTGACTCAAAAATAATAATAATAATAATTTTTTTAAAAAAGGATTTCTGGTTTTGGACAAGGTAGAGTAGATGTATTCCTTTCTATCCCTGCCACAATGTACATTTAAATACTGGGAATTATATATAAAGCAAGCACAAGAAGGCAGAACAGCCTGAAATCTCAGTACTTGAGGAAGGACACAGCAATGAATCTCGGTTTTTTTTCTTTTTGACAGAGTGCTGGAAAAGCCTACAACCTGGAAATGCCACAGGTACAGACAAAAATGTCCCCATGAAAAGACTGCTCTTTCTTGTCAAAGGACTAGGGAAGGGGCACCCCAGCAAGACAAAAACTTTTTTTTTTTTTAGATGGAGTCTTACTCTGTGACACAGGCTGGAGTGCAGTGGCATAATCTCAGCTCACTATAACATCTGCCTCCCAGGCTCAAGTAATCTTCCTGCCTCAGCGTCTCAAGTAGCTGGGACTACAGGCATGTGCCACCACATCTGGTTCATTTTTTGCAGTTTTAGTAGAGATAGGGTTTTGCCGTTTTGGCCAGGCTGGTCTCGAACTCCTGACCTCAAGTGATCTATTTGCCTCCACCTCCCAAAGTATTGGGATTACAGGCGTGAGCCACCTTGTTCAGCCTGCAAAAGCCTTTTGATATTGAATGCCTCCAGCAAAATCCCAAGGTGGGGGAGGGGAGAAACTCCCTGGCAAACTCCATTAGCGGAGGTAGAGAAGAAAGCTAGACTTTAATTTTTGGTGACAAAACATTTCTCCCACTCACCTCTGGGTGGTGTCAGAAAAGGCTGAGTGGGAAGCCTGGGTTTCCATCACTACCCAGCAGTAACTAAGTGCCGCTCCCCATCACCTCCATGATATTTGTGGAGGCCATGTAGAGAACCTGACTTGCCATCCCCATTCAGTAGTAACAAGGCACCATTCCTGTCCCCACAATGTAAAGGAGGACAACTGTGGAGCCTAAATTTCCACTTCTTCCCAGCAATAATGGAGCAGCCCTCCCTTTTCCCTACAGGATGGTGTCAATGGAGGCCATGTAACAAGGCTGGACTTTCAGCCACATCTAAACAGACGGTGTTCCCTTACTTTACTAGCCCAGTTTCAGCAGAGGCCTGTTAAACAGAAGATGTAAATGAGATCCAGAGTCTCGTAACATAGTATTAAAAATGACCAGGTTATAAGTGAAAGTAATTTACCATGCCAAGAACCAGGAACATCTCAACTTGAACAAGAAAACACAATCAACAGATCCTAACACAGGTTGTTGGAACTACTTGACAAGGATTTTAAAAGAGGGACTACAAAAATGCTTCAACAAGCACTTACAAACATTCTTAAATAATTGAAAAAAAAAAGAGAGAGAAGATCTAAGAAAAAAAAATACACAGAAATAACCTCCGAATGTGACTTTATTTGGAAATAGTGTCTTTCCAGATGCAATTAAAGTGAGGTCATACTGGATTAGTATAATAACTAAATCCAGTGACTGGTGTCCTTATAAAAACGCTATATGAAGACACAAAAGAGAACGCCATGTGGAGATGGGGCAGACATAAGAACGATGTGTCTACAAGCCAAGTAACAATAAAGATTGCTGGCAACCATCAGAAGCAAGGAGAGGAACACGGAACAGGCTCTCCCTCTGAGCTTCCGGAAGGAAGCTGCTGACATCTTCATTTTGGACTTTTGCCCCCCCAACATTGTTAGAGAATACATTTCTGTTGTTTTAAGGCACGAAGTTTGTCACCCTTTAATACAGAAACCCTAGGAAACTAATACAGTAACCAAAAATTTTTTAAGACTCACCAGGTGGGTTCAATAGAAGAACAGAAATGTGTAATGGACAGAATGTTGGTGTCCTCCCTCACCTCATTAATATGTTGAAGCCTTAGCCTCCAGTGTGGCTGTATTTGGAAATGGGGACTCTATAGAAGCAGTAAAGTTAAGTGAGGTCATAAGGGTAGGGCTCTGATCTGATAGGATTAGTA